GACACAACATGACACATTAAATTGATCTCGCACACAATGAAAAATATAGCAAGACTGCGACATTTTCGCATTCATGAAATATAAAACTTTACATGCATAAACAACACAAACTGTTTGTTTCATCAAGAAAAAAAGGTCGGAACCGTCTCGGAAAACGGTTAGAAGAGAAATTCCAACAGTTTATCCGTTTGTTTTTTTTTTTTGCTACATGAAATTGCCTAATGATGCCATTTATTCTGAACAAAATGAAAATGCCATCAAACATTTACAATTTGGACCAGCAGTAACACATTTTTTTTACCTTGAACACTTTTAATTAAAAGCATTTCGAATTTTTTTTACTGTAGACAAGTTTACTGCTAATAAGGTTGAATGTTTATAATTCATCTCAATTTCCACAGTTTTATTTATTAAAGATTAACAGAGGCACAACTTGAAGTGTGGTCTGTATATTTGAAATATTTGATGTGAACTGCAATTTTCGTCTTATTTTATTCAACTAAATCGTAGTCGATTGAAATTCATTTGTATTTGTTGTTGTAACAGACGTTAAATCATTGGAAAATATTTTTTTTTTTATTTTCACTCATTATAACATTTATTTTATACAACCATTTTTTGCTCTAAAATCTCGACAGAATACACTAAAAATTGATCGTATTCAAAATTAAGTAATATTTAAAAACAAAAAAAAAAAAAATCCCCTACCGGGAATCGAACCCGGGCCTTCTCGGTGAGAGCGAGATATCCTAGCCACTAGACCATAGAGGAGTTGTATGAACTTAGCCATTCGCTCTAACATACAGTTGTTCACAAACGCATGTCGATTGCACAATGAATACACATTAAAATCAAATCTAAACGAAAGAGAAACTAGATAATAATTGATTGTGTGGTTTAATATTGTGTTATATATGTTCACTCATATTCAGTTTTACAAAATGATATTTAATTGGAATCGATTTCTAATATGACAAATATCCGATAGCGGAAAACTGATGTATTTACAACGATGAATTTTTAATGCAGAAAAATACATTTACAATGAAAACAATCATAAACCCATTTGTATAAACAATTACCGTAATTCGTAGAGCGCGAGTTTACATAATTTTGTTGTCACGAAAATCCAACAAGTTATGACTCATATAAAATGTCGTTTATTTTATGAGAAAAAAAATACGTAGAATGTGTAGGCAAATGACAAATACACGGTTGGTCCAATTAATATGTTTTTCTCTCTTTCTGTTTTTCGTTCTTTGACAAATTTACATAAGATTTAACAAAAAAATCGATAATTCCATGTTTTCTTTCGTGGGGCTGACGGAATGTTTTACGTATTTTCAATGAACGCGAAAAAATCAAGTATATTTGCGTTTATTTCTTGGCTTCTAATTAAGTAACAAAATGATCTTCTTTTCATCATTTCCAAAAGAAACGTAATTTTTATTTTAAAAAAGATGCCACTTTTCCTTAAACCGTTTCAGTTTTATTGCACAATTTGACAAAAGGGTTGACATTCATATTTGCCAAAGACTTAAAAAAGCACACAAAGTGAAATTATTATCAGAAAGCTTTCTACGAAGAAAAAAAATGTGAGAAATTGTGAATGTGATGCATGAGTGCGAGAAAAAAAACACGGCGAGACAAATGGAGTACATATCAAACAAAAATTAGCATTTATCTCATTAGTCGGTTAACGATCGATGAAAATGAAACCAGAAAAACGACCTTTTGTTGAAACATGAAATGTAATTTTAATGAGTAACCGTCGTTAAATGCGCGGAAATCAAAGAAAATTGCTGTTCGGCAAGTGCACACGCGTATATGTGTATACAATGGGTGGAGAAAATCCATTTGAATGCATATTTAATTATCTTTCTTCGTCGCATCAATTGCTATCGGTCCGTAAATATGGACACTGTGCTCTGTTGCTTGTACATGTTCCGCCACCGCAAAAATATCACGGATATACAAAGTCGTGATTTAAAATAAGCTCAAAATACAAACGGATCTGATTACATAAGTTTGAGTTGGATTTTCATTCCCCTTAGAACCATGCAGCGCATGGAGTTTCTGTCACTGAAGTTGCGACCGCAAAAAAGAGATTAGCTTAATGAATAAGAAAGTCCTTTCTAATGATTATAAATGGTGTTTAAAATGTTAATGCATACCCATTATAGAATCGGGAATCATGTTCAGTTAGATGCTTTTGTCAATTTGCGTAATCACCTTATAATTCCACACTGCTGTAATGGTATTAATTTCACTTTTCTTATGGGGTGGATTTCAAGTTTAATATGCATTCGCATTGAACTGGAGCCAGCGAGACACGAAAATTGTTTGGAACATTTTTGTTAGTTAACAATGAAATGATGAGCTGTGCAAGGAAAGGATCAAATTGGAAATTGTTTAATTGGATTTTGAGGCCTTTGAAAATGATGCTTGAATCTTATTTCAATGCGTTGACATTTTTGACAGCCAAAGATTTGTGGAAATTTTTTCGTTGAACTATATCGAATTGACTAATCGAAATTTGGTGTACAATCAAAGTGGCTTAGTCACCAAAAATGAGAATACCTGTCACAATGAACAAAATCCGAATTTTTACTGAGATTACCTTTTTTTCTAATCTATTTTCAAAGCAATTTTTATGAATATGATTCGATTTTGTCGGATTTTTGTGAAAAATGGCTTACCCCATTTTTGCAGTTAATTCTTTTATGAGGACCTTTTTTTGATGCTATCATTCTCTCAGACAATCAGATCAATGTTTCACATCTATTTCTTGAAATAAAAAAAACACAAACACATTCCGCCTTTATTATGAAATAAAAAATGTCCCCAAAAAAGTGTCGAATCGTTCGGCTTGGAATTGGAAATACATCAAATAGAGCACTCGGTGATTAGCTCATTTTGCACGTTTTCACTTCTTTTATGATGCTATCTCTATATATAATTCTTGTCCATCCGAAAAAAAAAACCAACTACGGAGCGTTGAAAGGGAGAACAAAAAATGCACTGCGGATGGCACGTACACGTACGCATTGTGCCTATTTGTTTTGTCTGCTTCGCATATGTGTCATGCATTTGAATAGTTTGCTCCGTCTCTCTAACTTTCCCATATCTCAATATTCGACAGCGGCCATTTTTCGTTGGATGAAAATCCGTAGAACGTAATTCAATCCCGTGAAATGCCACTTTACCTTCATTTTAACGGAAATCTGTGAAATATGCTTCATAATGGAAATGAAAGGCATTTGTTTAGTTTTAGCACTGTCGTAACACACAGTTATGAGTCGCGATGTTTGTGAACATTTTCAGCGATAGCCGCCTTCACAAAGAAATAGCAACATTTCCAAAATGAAAAATACGATTTGAAAGCCGTTGACGCGGTGATTGTGATGGTGATGATACTGATGACAATGAACAGAGAACGTCAGACACACCAAGAGAGAGGGTATGTGAGATATGCTTTATGTTTTCTAAATATTATGCGGCATTTGGTGTAGAAAAGGCTTAAAATTTATTCAATATGCGCATTCTCATCGTTGTGTTTCGGTTTATAAAAGGCGAACCGAAGCCAAAATGCCAAATGAATATAGACTAGCTGATGACCTCAACATTTGCCCATATCGTGCATTTTGGCCATGGAATTCATGCTGTTCAGACCACTTCCCTTCAAATGCCGCTTGTGCTTATAACATTCGACCGATTCGACGTTGACGCTCTAGTCATTGCACTGTCTATGTCGGCGAATGTGTGGTTGGTGACGTGGAAAAACGGATACTGGTGCTGCTGCTTTTGCACGACTGAGCTTTAACTTTTTGGCTTTTGGCCAAATTCAAACAACATTTTTAATACTCGTTTTATTATCTTCTTCTCCGTCTGGTCAACATTTTTGTTCCTGTTTCTTGCAAATTTCTGGTGTGATCGCGGTTTTTGTCGAATACTTGTTTTTATCTATAGATTCTATACATAAAAAAAACAAGCGACTTTTCTACAGCATAAGCCAGTTCCGAAAATACGCGACCACATCAAAAACGCTGTCATGTCAATGTTTGATGGCGAAAAATTTCACCCAGACGCTGTACATTTTCGGCATTAGTTGCCATATTCAATATGGTTGTTTTCGGTTTGGACAATTGCCGAACGTTGCCAACAACCATTATAGTTTTTTATAGATGATGGTTTTGCTGGTGAGATTTGACCGATGCCGCTTTTTCAATTCGACACCATGGCCACAGATAAACATTCGAAAATATAGAGACAAAGATTTTCCGCACAGCGTGAAAATGCTCTAGTTTATCCAGTTACCCGCACCAATATTTATTCGCCCCATCTTTGCTCTCTTGTTTCGTATACATCACAGTTTGGGTTTCGGTAAAATTTCAAGCGTATGTTGGTTGTTTTTGGTTATGCTGTGCAGATCTCAGTGTAAGCGTGTTTGTTTGTTTGCTTTGATAACAGTTCCATTGGAGGCTATTCCAGAAACAAAGACGAAAATAAACGCAACGCTCGAAAAATAAGTAATGGATTATTCACAAAGTCCAACTAGTATGTGGAAGCCGGGTGTATTGTAGCGTAAATGCAGAGTTTATTTCTCATTAACATCTCACATTTATTTCGCACTTTTTTGGTATGTTACATTCTGCCATTTTCATTTTTTGTGTCAATTTATTTTAAATACTTACTGCATGTACTACCCAGAGGTCATTCAGTAAATTTACACTATGTTTTATGCCAAAATTTACCCAGAGCGCAAATTCATCTGTTTCAATATGAGTGTTAAAGTTGAATTTGCCTGGAAATGTGGATGAAGTAATTCGAATTTCAAAAAAAAAAAAAAAAACCAAAAAACATCATTGCCAATTTTAATGAGGAAAATGAAATTTGGTGTGTAACGAGTGCATTTCTCATCTGTGCTTATCCAAATAATATCAAACAAATGTGAGTTCATTTATTAATTGTGTGTATGTTTGTTTCATTTTTCCATGCAGGGTTCTAATATGGATGCACGAAATCAACGGTAAAAAGAATATACGACTAATCTGATTAGTAGCGGCTCCAGCAACAAGAAAGTTCTGTGCGATGCGCTTCATTAAATTTTGGATATTTTTCTTTATTGAAGCCCTCGGGGAGTTTCAAAATCACATGAATACCGCTCAAGCCTGTCTAAATGAATGCATCTGCTTATCGCAGACACAAGTGAGTAATATCCATTGCATAACTGAATTTTACATTCATTAGCGAGCCTTTGAAATGATATAAATGTGAAATCATCGTATGAATTTCATGGTTCCGTTCAAATTCTCTCTTTTTTTTTTAAATTGCAAACTGAATTTCATTTAGAGAGATGTGAATAGAAGGTTCATGATGTTTGTTGTTTTTGTTTTCGCAGGTTTTATGTAATACGGGTGGATTGCGCGAGATTCCAACGAAACGGCTACCACCAAGCGTTGAACATTTATCATTAACCAAAAATAATTTTCCAATAATAAAAAGCGATGCATTCGCTGGCCTACGAAATTTAAGGAAATTATCACTCGACGGGAATAATATTACAACAATAAAACCGTTTGCATTTCGTGGCCTACCAAAAATTCGTGAAATTTCCATACAACATACGCCATTGTCGACAGTTGCACAGTTTGCATTTGCCGGTTTGCAAAATATTACCACAATTTTATTGAGCCACAATAAAATCTTGCGTGTTGAAACGAACGCATTTGCGGGCACATCGAATGTTAAATTAATCTTATTATCAAATAATCCAATGCTGAAAATTGAGACGTCAGCATTTTCTGGTTTAACGCAAGTGGAACATTTACTTTTGCCATCTGGTATTCGAATTATCGAGCCGGACGCATTCTATGGTATGGATAGTGTTGGTTTACTAAAATTAGCGTTCATGGATTTAACGGAATTGTCACCGTTCACATTCCGTGGATTAACTAATGTGGCGGTATTATCGTTGCAAGAATCTGATTTAGGTGTAATTTGTTCAAATTCATTCGATGGCCTGTCACACGTCGGAACACTGAAATTTCTCAACAATAAAATCGATTCGATTGAAGAGTTGAATTTAACATCATCGCATCACATAAAACATTTAATTTTCCATGGAAATCATTTATTAGAGACACCCGAACCCGGCGCCATCATTTTAGATGGTATACGCAATATATCCGTTATAAACAACCATTTTCCGTGCGGATGTCATGTGCACGCGTTACTAGATAGTGGTAAGAGAGAATTTTATTTATTATATATTATAGGATGCATCAGTATCCACATGTGAGGGTGGTCAAGAATGCATACAAAATCGAATTTTCAACGCCACACAGACAGGAATCATCAGACTAGGTAAAAAGAATCTGTGTGCCAAGTTTTACCACTCTACGGCATAAATTGTACTGTAAACAAGATTTTTTTTTAAGTAAACGAGTCGAAGTGGAGACTTTTTTTTGGTTCTTCAAGCAAAAAGTTGTTTCATTTTTAAAAGAGATAAATTCATCCGGAAAATAACAAACAGAATAAAAAATTGTTAATTTATTCATTGAAAATTATTTTATTTTGGAGAAAATTAGTAATTTTTTTCAAAAAATTATTTTTGTTGCAAAATCTAGATTTTACTATTGCCAAGATTTCAGAAATACTTAATTAAATGCGATATGAATTTAAGCAAATGCATGTTTTTAATCTGTATAAAATGATATGCGACAGAAATTGATTTGGAAACTTGATTCGATGCAGATTTTGGCGATGAAGTACGATTTGAAGCAATAAGGGATGTTGAAACTATCCAGATTAGACTTTTACTGTTGATGTCAGTTTGGCACCTCCTGATGCTTCAAGCGGCTGACTATAGTAGATTGTATAGCCGTTTTGAATATAGCAACCATCAAGGCATCCGTTACATCCGTAGCATACATCATAGAGGAATGTATAAATATTGAAATTATTCTTTTGACAAATGTTGCCACATCCAGAATTCAAAATTTGGAGGAATGAATTGTAATATTTTGTGTAACAAGGATTTGATAGTTTGTTTATCACACATTGAGAGATTCCATTTGTTTTTGGATCATAGTTGCGATATGCTTCACAAAGTGCGCACAAATCAAAATGGATTTTACTTTTGCATCCGCATGAACAACAATTACATGTATCTGCAACATCTTGAATCAAATCATCCAATTTGTCGTCAGTATTTTTATCGCATAAAACCGACGTACATAATGGTAGATCGGGCTGTTTAATTGGTGCTACTAGTTTATCTTGACCATATACCTATTGATTGCAGAAAGACGTATTAATAAATTACTCAATTCAAATTCAGTATCAAACTCATATAATATACTTACATCATGCAAGGTGGCCAACAATGTTAAAATTAATACAAAACGAATCATCATTCGTAGGAGTTTTATCGACTTATTCACAGTTCAAGAGAATTACTGCTCTGATTTTACAACAGAATTCTCTGCTTTTATTCATTTTTGAAACAGTTTCGTTCAAAATTCAATACAATCAAAGAGATTTTCTTTTAATTTTTTTGTTAACGCAATACACGACTTTAATTATATTTTAATACAGTGTACGATGCATTCATTGAAACACCTTTGTTTGCTTTGAAATATTGAATTTTATGCAACTTTTCACCAAAATAGAATCAGCTTAATGACATCGGATGCGGGGGAGTTATTGCTTAGGGGGAATTATCTATACGTTTATACGGGTTATATGCAAATATTTTTTACCAAATATACTACAAATAGATGAAGACATCGCAAGTATGCCGCATAAACGCTATATATATATGCGTATAAACCACATATATTCGGAGGTTTTTGCAAATATTCTTGCGTATATGCGGTTTATATTCTTATACGCAGCATATTTTTAACTTATTTTATTCGATATTTCCCCTAGGATGCACTTGCATCATTTAATTATTCATACCAATATTAATGAATGAACAGATCTCGAACGATTTCACGCCTTAATATTATTTTTAACTGCCTTTGTTCTCTTGTAACTATCTGTTTCGGCTCAATCTTAATAACAGTTCATTGACATTTCAAGTGAATAACTTCTCATTATTTTCAAAATAGTAACAACAAATATAATGCAATTTATTTTTCAATTCTTATCAAAACAACATGTGCTTTTTTCATTTCGTCATGCAATTCTATTTTTAACGTCAAACGTGTTTTGTAATTTAACTGAACGAATACTGTAAATGAAAACCTATCTTCTTATTGACTGACAAAAATAAAATTACGAAACATATTTTTTTGGTAATAAGATTATTGTTATTTATACTTTGAAAATTTGTTGCTTGCCAAACCAAAGAAAACCTATCCGGAGCAACAAAAGTTGGTTCCAATATGGATTTGATTGGATATGAATATCTCCCAAGTAAGATGTGGGTACGAAAGTATATTAAGCTTTCGATGTATTCGGTGAAAAAAATCATCATGATATGTCATCTAACGTCCGAGATATACTATACGAAAAATCAAGAAATTTTTTCAGAAATGGAACTTCACACAGATTCTTTGAACCAAATCTAATGATTCCCGCCTATGTGTTAATCAAAATTAGAATCTGTAAGCATTCGTGATACGCTAACGGAGGACAAGGGGTTCTTTTTTGCTCTTCATTTATGAAATCAACCCCCTAAGAATCTTAGCTCCCACATTACTGCCATACATACATATATCAATTTTTCTTTTTTAAATAAAAATAATAAATAACCAAATTTTTTACAGCGTTATCGAATGGCTCGTATCAACGGGGTGACTTTATGTCACGGAATTATTGCATTTCACCGTTGGATGTAAACGGCAAAGCGATGAGCGAATTGGATCTCTATGCAATTGGACGATGTCAGGAGCAGGTGACACGTGAAAATCTCGAATCAAATGCAATTTCTTTGCATTCAACAAAACAACATCATCGAATTTATGTGCACACAATGGTGGCCATCGTATTTTTATTATTACTGATGAACGAATTGCAGCGATTGAACCGTGGCACCAGCGAAAATAGCAGCCAAAGTGTCAACAGCACAAATAACAATCAGACTGAAATTGATCGTGAACATCACAATGACATAAGAAAAAACCAATATAAGCAACACGATCGAATGGTATGTGCGACAACCCGGTGAGCTTATCAATTATGTATACGAGCTGACAAAAAAGAAACGATGCAAGTGATATTTAAAACAATGAAAGAAAATTCAAAATGAATTTTCAACACACTTCCATTTCTTCCATTTTGGAAGAGACAAATTCAATTCCGTTTGAAATGTCAGTGTCACACTGATTTTCGTACACCATTCAACATACGTTCAACAATTGACAGCGACATTAAGTTTTTCATCAATTCAATTGCATCTTGGATAGTCCGCACGAACTAAATGCAGCTTTTTTTTACTGCACAATACTGTCACGCGGACCAAAGGCGCATATTTTTAAATTTCTATCTCCATCAAATGAACATAAAACATCAAATATTGTCGTGGCATAGAAAATGATATGTGGGAATACTCAATTCATATCTTTTTGTACCGTTAATATCAGAGCAAGTACATCATATCAAAACAAGCGAAAAAAAACATCTTTGTATTTACGTTATGGTTAATTAGTTCCACCCCCAAAAAGTATGTACAGGTTTATTATAGCAGGAATACTTATTTTTCTCGTTCGATTAAATTTAAAATCAAATGTAGCAAAACGTCATCGCATTTTCTTTATACCATTAACAATTCTGTGCAATTCGATGTAAATGACTGAAAACAAATACAGAATACAAAATTACTGCAACGACCATTACACAATCGTTCAAATCGGATGTCGTCAATCGATTTGATCGATTTGGTGATAAAAGTGTAGCCAATTCGGACGAAAGTCAACCGAATTCGAAGCGTTCAATCACTGTTTGTACTGAGATATTTTTGGCAACTTCTGGCTTAGGTCGGCTCCTATTTTATATGAGGCTGAGTAAGTGAAGTGTGGCTTCAGATTCTGAATTTCAAAAAAATAAGTTTTGTTTCTTATTGATTTTATTGGATTTTTGAAGGTGATTTGAATATTTTACTCTCATATGAATACCGTCGACATGAGCTGGCTAAAAATATTTTGCATTGAATAAAAGTACTTGAATTCCCAACACGTTCAAGCGTATCCCCATTCACAAATGGAAAACGAGCAAAAATAAAAAAATCGGGTACGGGTATGTTGAATGGTTCGTTTTGTACTTTTGTGGTGATAATCTCAGGCGCATACACCAAATAATACATATATTTGTTGTTAGCAAATCGAGAAATGGTTTCCCAGCAATCGAATCGAAAAAGGTCAAACTCTTTTGCATTGTTCGAATTGTTCAAACAAAAGCGAATGGTCTCTCTACTCTCTCATTTTAAAGAACAAAGCACTGTTTGACGAACTGAAAGGAATCAATAGAATTTCAAAATAACTAATTCAGTGCGGCGAATAGAGAAGAAAAGGAATGAAAGTGTTATTTACGCTGTAACGCATTGGCGACGAACAAATCAAAAATATCATTCAATGTATATGTATAACCGGCGCACTTTTTTACACACACACACATAAACATTCATATTCATGCACTCTCACGAAAAGCCTTGGCAAATGGAAATATCGAAAATCTATTTTACATATTCCCAGTGCGTTTCTCATTCATAAGAGAACTCTATTCATTCGCATACAATACGTCGCAATTCGATTTTCGTAAAATGGCTTGAATCTCATTTTTCGTTTGCCATCGCTTTTATCCATGGCATTTTATTGGGTTAAAAATAAATAAGCGGATAAAAAATGAGATATTTATGCATTCGGAAGCGGCAAGCAGCTGGAAAGAAAATGCCAATACACATTCGAAAACATAAAACATTCAATAACAAGGTCGTCGTATATATAGTAGTTTCTACAACATTCTCACACACTTTGCCAGTGGATTTTATATATTTATTTTTTGTGTGTGTTCGATCGACTCGTATCCCGCTCCAGTGGGGAGAAATACAGCCGTTTAGTTAGACCTGCTTCGGTTCGATAATGTTGGCGAGGAAAAAATTTACAACGATAGATCCAGAAGAGTTCATCAAATATGCGACCGCTAAATTGGGATTTAAGTATAACACACACACACACTCGTACATATCATATTGACACACACAAAGCCATAGTACGATTGATGTGTCTCTTTTCAATCGCAATTTATAGACAAAAGTATTAGGGGAGAAGGTTTTTTTATAGGCTTTGTGGTTGGAAATACTTTTTAGTTAGTAAAGGTTTTTTCCGTGTCGCCCATTGTATGTAGTAGTCGTTCATTTCATATTGATTCATTTTTTGAATTCTTGAATATTCATTGTCATCTTCATGTATTCCCGAGCCGCTTCCTGCTGTTTTCGGGCTTTATATTATGAATATTCAGTTTGAATCGTGCCATTAAAATGCACAGCCGTATTGTCGATGGATTCTTTTTATTCGCCGTTAAATGTATGTGCCGTTTGCTCGCATAAAACAAATAGTATGGCATTCAAATGCAACTCCAAAGGATTATTTGTACAAATGTAAAAATTTGAACGAACAAAATGAAACTAGATAAAGCGCAAAAAACGCAACCTGACCAACATATCATTTGGACATCCCATATGGAATCCTCTCGAAAATAATAGATAATAAATATCATTTTCATATGGACTTTGTTCGTCTGTTCATATTTTTTTTCATATTGTCGCCTTTATATGTTTCATCTTTTTTCGATATGCTTCGATTCGAATCGGTATTATTTCATTTACGCGGCGTGTATTCGCTTACACCATTCGGTGTTCACTATCGTTCGTGTGTATGTGTGTGTTGCCAAATGCAATTTCGTTTCACGACATTTTATTGAAATAGATGCACGCAGCATGAACAGCAAAAAAAGGGTATAACATGAAGCGAAAAACACATGATGTTTGAATATGCATTCAGTGTGGCGAAAAGCGATTGGCGAAAAACCCAAAATAAATTGCGATTTCATTTTATGGAAACCATATTTTATTGCTATGGCATCGATTGGTACTGTGCTAAATATGATAAAAGCAACCGAGGATGAATTTTCAATTTTTTTCCTCTCTTTTTGTTCTTTCTTTTGTTATTTGAGTTCATCAGATTGGAAAAAAAATTGTCGGCTATTATTAATGAAATCTATATTTGGATGATGTAAATAATTTCGAACCGCAACATCTCATTTTGGTTTGGCTGCCGCCAAAATAATGGCATCGTCTGTCACCAACATGTTAGATACAGTTAAAATATTTAACATTTAAATGTCTAGCCATGAAAATTGTAAAGCTTCAGTAAGTCTTAATATGTCTATTCAATTGAACGGAAAAATTTTGTAATTTCCACAGTGCCAAGCAATTAATGTTCCACAATAATCACTATATTTATTCGTTTTATAAAACGATTATTATATTTTCATGGCGAAAGTATATTGGCGAATTGAGATAAGCAAAAAACATCACAAAAACTTGTTTGCTCCAACACCATCCAGAAAAGAATGTTCATTTTGCATATACTTTGTCATTAAAATTACTTTATCAACAATTGCGATTGTATTTTTGTAATTAGCAAAATGGAATCGGCTTCCTTATCGCCTTGCCAGTCCTTCATCCTGATGTTAAATCAGCACGCTCAGAAGCCATGTTACACCATAAAAAAATGGATTTATCGAAGTTTACAACGAACAAACCATGGATCCGTAATTATTCAAATAAAAGCGCAAACTGTTCCATTCGAAAATACATTAAATGCGATGCCAGTGCCCATAATGGAGAGAAGACACTTTTATCTATCTTGTCGGATTGAATCGATGCTTCTTTTTTTACGCCATTTTATTATTCTTTCTACTTTTTTTTTACTCGCGATGAATATGTACGATGAAAAACGAACCATTCAATATTTTACAAACAATGGCTCTGATTAGCATATTTAATGCGATCACGTTCAATATTTTTTCTACGCCATCCTGAATGCATCATCGAACAACTTACTAAATTGAATTAATTTCAACGTGATTACATATGCTTTTTTCGATATGAGAAAATATTAGCTTGACTATTTACAATTTTGTAATTGTAATTGAAAGGGGAAAACGACCACAGGATGACTTGCCATCTACTGAATGGATGTGAAATTCTTTTCTGGTTTTATCATCAATTAGAATCAATACTAAGCCTACATGTGAAATAAATCAGCGCATTGTCGTAATTTCTAAATTTAATTTTTACCATTTTTGTTGATTGTTCCAAAAATGTACGACCTACCTGTCGAATGACAGTGTCCATTTTAATTGGTTTCAATATTGAATTTTCATTTGGATTTGTGTTTATTATTTGGATATTTTTAATTATGTACATAAATTCGAAGAGGAATTTATCCGATTGAGCGGTTGATATGAACATTTATAGAATTTATGCTGGAAAAAATTGACTCGAAAATAAATTAAATTATTGTAAATGCATTTGAGTTCATTAATTGACTTTTTATCGGCACTTTGCTAACAATGCAATGCATTGTTTTAGTGCATGCTCTTACTAATTTAAATGAAATTGTAAAAAAATATCCGCCAAATGACCGACACAAGATCATGTGCATGTCAATATGAAGTGGCCGATGTGTGATTAGTGTGCGCGATGTGTAAATTTTCCATTCGCTTTTTTTTCGTCGTTATTACGCTTCCTATACAATGTAAATTCATCAAACATTATAATATCATTTTTTTTTGTCATCAAATTGTTAACGCTAATTTATCGAATCAGCGGCTCATTTTTAATTCAACATTTTGCATGCTAATTGAATCAACTAGTTTTTGTTTAATTGATGAGAATTTATTGGTTGCAAAAGCAATGATGTGTAACAAGTACGATACATTGGAATCGGAATATAAAATAAATGTAAATGCTGCTCCAACATCATTGAACATGTGTATAAAGCGAAAATTTGGCACGAATTAAGAGAGAAAACATTCATTCAATCGGCACGGTTTATATGTTTAGGTAAATGTCCGCTTATTAATTAGCTAGAAAGAATCTAGACCAATTTTCAATTGTAAATACCGACATGCCATATCGAAAATTATATATTAACTTTAACGAAATGTGTTAAATGGAAAACAAATATAGCTCAATATTGTAGGGTGTGGCTATATGTAAAACTATTGAAATCATATCCCGAACAAGGCGGATTGTTTACATCCGGAAAGAAGACAATTTTTTCTCTGGGATCCTCCCACTCGAATGCTAAGGATTATAAATAAATTTCCATATAAAATACGATATTATTGTAATAAATATTATTTAAAAAATGCGGCATATCGTTATTTTGTTTTATTAAGGTAAAAAAAGTTGTGGTAGTCAAATCAAATCAATAAAGAAATCCAGGAAATGTGCTTGCATTGCTTCCACTTAAAATGCAGTGTCATTGGCCAAAATTAGCTACAAAAATATTCAATCCGATGCTTGCTCAGAAATAAGCATACAAATCAATTCAAAAACAAACTAAATATATTCAAATTAAACGAGTCAATTGGTTTTTCGAGTTTTCGTTTGCCGCAAAATGAATATAAATCAAATAAATATAAATCGTTCAATGAGAAAAAACCGAGTCAATCGAAAATTGTGTAGAAGTTGAGGAGGCAGAAATCGTAACACAATTCAATTACTAGTAAATGTTTGCGATACATGATATTTAAGAGATAACTCAAAATATAGATCATAGAAATGAATGTAAAATGAAGTGAAAATACAGCAAAATAATTTATTAAATCTGAATGTCCTAGAAAAAGGCAACTATTTCAATTAAATTACTCAAAATGAACTTATTCATTGAATAAATAAATAATATTCAATTCATCCGAGGGAAAAGATATATGTAT